GTATGGAGGAGAGGAACGAGGGCGTTAGTGAGAAGTTCGGAACGATTGATGGTAACAGTGGTTGGGGGTGGCGGCTGATGGGTGTTCGGATGCCACTATGGGGGCAGGATTTGGGAACAGAATAGAGAAGGGGGAACAAGGGTACTAGTCAAGACTTCGAGGTAAGAACTGTAGACAGTAATAAAGAGGAAGGGGCAACACAGCAAAGAAAGTTAAATGAAAGAAAACCTGAACGTATAAAAAAAAAGAAAAAGTGGAAGAAAGCGAAATCAGCGAATCGGAACCTATGAATGAAATCTGAAGGAAGCAAAAGCAAATAAAAATTGAGGAAGCAGGAGCAAAAAACAGGTAAAAAACTTGGCAGAAGGAAAAACTTACAAATGGAAATTGCCTTATAAAAGCCCGACTGCAATTTAGGGCTTCCCTATTTGCAAAGCTGATTCTTAGGTAAAGCTGAAGCTTTCAGTTTCATTTACCTTATTCGCTGTCAGTTTTACCTAAGCATCAGTTTCAATGGGGAAGTCCCTTACTTATAATAAGTTTTTTTATTATGCGTTTTGTGCTGTGTAACAGCGCTACAAAACGCATATTGTCGCGGGGTTGTCTGTGTGTGTGTTTGTGTGTGTGTGTGTGTGTCCCACATTTTGTCCCGCACTTTAAACTAGGGAACCACAAAACTTAGGCGGCAAAAATTTTGATATAGTGTTCCCCACCAACGGGTGACGCGGCAAATTTAAATTCAACCTTCTCTTGTCCGCGGGTAGCACGTACGGCTCCGTGAAAGTTTTTTACGAGTAAATATCTCAGGAACCACGGAGTCTAGGAAGCTAAAATTTAAGGGTAATGACCCTCTGCACACGCTCAACCTTGCCTATTCAAATTCAGCGTTCCCGCGCTCTCGGGTATCACCTACAGGCTAGTGAAAGTTTTTACGGGTAAATTATTATCTCGGAAACCACGGGGTCAAGGGAGCTGAAATTTCGAGGGTAGTGCCCCCTTGCCCAGCTCAACCTTGCCCATTCAAATTCAGCGTTCCCTCGCTGTTGAGTATCACCTACGGTCTCGTGAGA